TAATAGTTCATTACAGAGTTTTAATGAAGACAAGCTGCTGTCTAATTTATGGAGTTTATCTTATGTTGAACGCTGAGACTATTTTGTCTGTCATAATAACTACTCTTTCAGCTAGTATTTTACTGGGAAATAATCCAAGAGATGAAACCACTCAGAACTCCTTGATTTACTGAAGAAATGTACCAGCACAAAGGTTTGTTTTAATTTCCACTGTTATGTGGGTTGTTGTGGGGTCTCCATTGTTACATCATGTTGCCTTGAGGAGCTGGACCTCACACAGTCTCCCTCCCCTCCTCTTTTCCCAGCCACAGAGATTTTAGGAATAAGGACATTTGAGAAGGTATTGTTATCTCTGACACCCATTTCACCTGGGTGATAATTGTTAAAATGAAACATTATCATCTGATGATTAAACATTCCACTAGTATCTAATTTCTACCAGCTCTCAGTACAGACAGGCATTAATGCAATAAAATCAAAGACAGGAAGAGTTATGCTGCATGTGAAAAGATATAAGAACCAGCTGAATAAATGAACCCCTCATGAAAAGCTTGTTCTTTTTATTCTAATTTACATTTGCAACTGCAGCTAAATGAAGTGTATAGGAGGATGAGTTTTGCAAGATAGGCAGAGTCAACATTCTTGCTCATGCACAAATGTAATAGGGCAAAGCTGTCTTGGTTTAGAGTAAATACTAGATTTCATGGAACTTCCCATGGCTGGAAGTTGCATTTCAATTGTACTCAATGGTTAAGGGAGTAAAGTATAAGAAGGCAGAGTGGAATAACAATAATAGTTTTTCTTTTATAACATTTGTAACAGGATACAGTGATGCAAAAAATCAAAATAATCTTGGATTGTTTTGTTGACTTCTGATCAGTTCCCTACATCTGCAGAGAAGTGGAGCAGCAAGACTGAAATCTAGATCCTTGGTATATAAGATCTAGTCGTAGACTCTCTGTTAACAACAAATTAACACTTTAGCTGTATGGATATGAGCTGAATGAAAACACTCAGTTCCTTGTGATTGTGAGTCAATCTGTCCATGCAGATTTATTTTACATTTTGTGTAATGAAGAGATTTGACATTCGTGTTAAATTCCTACTGACCATGCAGTCATCAACAAGATTAGAAGGAAAACTCAGTAATGGCACCCTGAGATGGCAGATTTTTGGGCACAGCCTCACCAGAAATGGATCCATGCAACGTTACCAACTGCCTGTTGTCAGTTGGAGGAACTGGAATCTTGGAGGACTTGCAGGACAAAATATGGTCTGCCTAATTTAAAACTTCCTTCTACATTAGTTGCATAAAGGACTTAAACAAGTACAAGTATCAGGAATTAAAAAAAGTACCAGTGCTCTCCATGATTTAGGTACCTAAATTCCAATTATAGGTGGGATATTGTAGTGTAAATACTGTTTTGGGGTTTGGCTGGTTTTTTGGGTTTTTTTAGTTTTAAGGTCTAATTCTTAAGCTATGTGAAGTGGGTGAGCTAAAATAAAGTTAAGATTTAGGCTTTATAAGTAGTGAGATTTTTGGAAGTTTCCTGTAAACAACCTCTGATTTGCAAGGAGGCTTTGAACTTGTCTATATAACTTCAATGTAACTATATTAATTAATTAAAATGCTTCCAGAACTTGTGAATTTAAGCATCAACCTAATTTAAGAAGTAAAATTTGCTCATTTTTAAATCTCAGTGCTTATGAGTTTCTCTGTGAGCTAGTTTCCAAGATAAAGTATTGCCAGAGCTGTCTATTCAGTGTTTACATTGTTGTTTTATTTTATTAAAGAGAATACACGAAGAAATTCAGTCTCCTCCTCCTTAACCTCCTCTTAAAAATGACAATAGTACAAAACCAGAACTGTTAAGAACTGTGAAAACCATCACTCACAATGGACACACAGCTATTCTGTTACATGCTCTGAAGTAGTACAGGTGAATAAATTACATTCACTATCTGATCCCACACATTACATGGCTTGAAAAAGTCCTGCCATTTTCACAGTGATAATCCTGAGCTCTCCGCACCACCATAGGAATTGTTTGTCTAGTAACAGCATTCTCAGGTAAGAAAGAAGTTCAGGACACTGGCAGAAACACTAAGAAAGGAAACAAAAACCCATTACCTGATAGTTTTGATCATGCTGAGCCCCATTTCAACACAGCAGTGTGCATGGTCCTGGCGAGGTTCTGGGAGCCCTGACACACAGTAGTAACAGTCCCCCAGGATCTTTATTCTGAGACAATGATGTTCCTACATGTAAATGTATCAAAGAGAAAGAAAAGATTTTCAGGTTTGGTTTTGTTTTTTTCTTATTTTTTTTCTTTTTCATAATTTTAAGGTTATTGTGCAAGTGGTTGAAAAAAGTACTGGAAAAGAAAATTGAAAATAAGAACTTGTTGCTTGGTGTTTCCTGCCTGTGGTTGGCACAATCTTGTTTTAGTTCCCTTTTAAAATAAAGTACCTTTACATTTTCAGTAAAAAAAGGTATACTGATTTTTGTGTTATGCTAATCAGAGATGTCCTTGCTGATGGTGAGAGAGGTTTCATCAATGTTAGGCTGGAAGCTAGGCCAAGGATTCAGAAACACCAGGTGAGATAATGAATAACTCATTTTAGACTATATTCCTCCAGGGTATCATTTCTGTGCCCTTTTTTACACTGGAAATAAATGAAAAATCTCTTTTCTCCTACTGATAACCCCTTCCCACCTAAAGCTTCCACTGTCAAGCTCAGGCATTCCCAACAGTTATAGGATCACATCAAGTATCCGTATGCCAAGGATGTCAGAGAAGCCGGCTTGCATTAGACTTGTATTGTAGAGAAATTGTGCTTATTTGGCATCCAGCCAGCCTAGAGGCAAATACTGAATTTCATTTCTTTAACACATATTAACAGTATCCTTATATGCTGGAACAACATACAACTGTGTGATTGGATTGTTATTTTGGAAGAGCTTTTTCTAATTAGAAGAAATACCACAGTTGCTAAAGTTTTGCAGCTCCCAGACAAATAAAACAAGTGGGACCAAGATTAGCTCTAAACTTGTCCAGTATGTTCTTCTGGATTGGCATTCACAGAAGACAATCAATGCACAGGAACAGAAGCCATAAAAATTTGAGGACAGAGCTGCAAGTGTCTAGGGACAGACAGCATTGCTGGTTGAGTCAGTGTTTTTATAACGGAGAATCACGGAAATAGTAAGTATTAGCACCCAAGTAGTAAAGGCTCCAATGATGGAACGTTAAAATGAAGACCAGTCATTGATGGGGAATAGGATAATGATTTGTAAAAGTGGTTCATTAGATGATAGCAAAATTTGGCCTATGGTATTCATTTCAGCTTTTCTTGTCTTTCTCTATGGCAACATGTGGTGGAGGCTGCACTAATCAAAGCAGCGGGGATACACTTAAAGCCACTAGGGAAGAGACAACTTGAAGGAGGGTAAAAGAGGAAATGTAAACACTGGCTGTGCCTCAGGAATTGAATACAGGCCAAATGAATGGGACTCCAGGTTCTTATTCAAGATTTTGCCTAGGATGAATGAAGCTTTGTAGTCAACCTCAGACAAGTCTTTCCAGATCCTAGAGTGGCACAGGGAACCTACACACTTGTATACAAACCTTTTGCAGAAGTCAGCTGAAGCTTTAAGCATGCCAGTGAAAATAAAATTTGCTCTGGGCATAGGGCCAAAGTAAGCTTGATTTACACTGAAATCTCCTTAAACCACCAGTAGGAGCTGACTGCATTTGAAGCTTTGGCTAGGTCTCCAGCTAATACCATTGCTGTCTCTCAGAGTGCAACGCCTACCTGCCCAAGATTCACAACGAAAATCAAGTCTGAAGTCAAGCCTCTAAAACATCAAAATTCATATGTAATTCTCATCTTTCCTTGTCCCCACACAAGTGAAAGTTGGGTATTTTTCATATGGTTGCAACTGAAATTATATACCTTAAAATCCACCAAAACATAATTTTTTTACAAATTTCCTCCTTGATTGAAAGAATTAAAGATTTTTTTCTACGTTTTCCACCTTTTTTTCCCTTTTGAGTGAAATGTAAATCAACAAGTAGTGAGGAATCAATGGCATAGATCAGTGTATGTCAAACTGTTAATGGGCTTCCTTAAGCTTCTCTCTGTGTTCCCTGGTTAGGAAAAATGCAAAGAGATGAGGATATTATAAAACACAGATTCTAAAGTTCTTCAGCTCTTCTAATAGTGCCATTTGACTGATTTATATTCTAATTGACATTTGCTTTTACATCAACAAAGTAAAAGGAGCATTTATAATGTCGCATCAGTTTGAGGTAAAGCAAAAGGCAGCACTTTAACTCCATTCAGACCCACTACAAATACATTACAACTGATAACCTTACAGTATAACAAAAAAAACAACCAAAACAAAAACGGGCAAAGGAAAGCAAGCAAAACATATCTCAATTAGTATCATATTTTAATATTATAATTGCATTTTTATGTGGAACATTTATCATGCAGTCTTGTACCTGTAGGACCTGCCTATCTGACGATGTAGGAATCCCCTATTAAATGAGCATCTAATTCAGCACAGTTAGAGAACATAATCTGCAACAGAGAAAAACCCTCAGCTGTTTGGCTCTTAATGACTCATTTAAACTGACTAAAGTGCTGATTCCATTAAAGACAGATGAGATGTCCATCACCTGGCTGCATGTCACGTGCTGAAAATCAGAACTAGGCAGACAACTTTGAAAAGATGTGTTTTTAATAAGAATAAGAAAGAAGAATCATAATGCATAACAAGACCTGCTAATGAGAGCTAGATGTATGCAAATGTGTGTGACACAGGAAATCCACTCATCTGCACATGAGTGTGTGCTTTTTCTTGTCATGATACATCACATCTACACTCATTTGTCAAAGCTCAGAAGTCTTCTACAGAGTGAGACATCCAAACAGAGATGACTAGATGTAGGTGTCCATGTATAAGCAGTCAAGGCTGCCATTACAATCAAAAGGGGAGCCAGGCGATGCAGTCAGTGAAGCCTAGGAGCTGATGCATCTCACAGTTAAAGCAGTTGTCTGGGCTTCAGTTCAGTTGTCTACATGTAAGCTTTCAGTGCATTGGTAAGACCCCTGGGTATGTGAGAAACCCACACAGGACTAACAGACATGACATAAGACTTATGTCCCTCTGGAGCAGATCAAGGACCAGGCAGGATGTCTCTGCTGGCACAAGAAACCACAAGGAGCACTTAAATGACTACTTGTCTTCCTTATTTTTCCTGTTAATCAAATCATTATGACTGTTGAACATGAACTGTGTTACAGTCTGAATATATTGCCCTTACTCTTTTTATTTTTCATTTATTATTCCCATCATACCTATTTCAAAAGTAAACTGTGGATTTTTTTATCATTGGAAATGTTTCAGCTAGAAGAAGATAATTCAGCAATGCCAGGAAGGACAGAGGTCTAATGGTTTCTGCCGTTGGCAGAAGAAGACTGTGTGGTCCCCAGAGATTCCCTCTGATAACTCTGTAGTTTAATCACATCTAGAGTTTAGACTAGATGCTTTGTCAGGCTTATTGTATTAGACATTAAGGTTAGATTCATGGCTAATGTGGGTAGCCATGCTGTAGTTGTAAATAGGAGACTGTGTTTTGCAAGGGTCTATCTGCTTTTCAGTGGTATAAAATGATAATAATAGCATTCAAGGTTTTCCTCACACTCTAGAACACAAGCTCACTTCCTAAAACCATCTTACTGCAACAGTATCTGAGAGTTGCAAGTTGATATTAAATGAAAATTAGTGAAAACCGTAAACATGTATAAAGAAACTGTAAAATGAGCAAGTTATTTAAATATGAAAATGGCCATACAGGAACTTTGGTGCAGCAGATATTACACTGCAGTTTTAAAACCTTACACTGCCATGAGGCTATTATGATCTTCACTTTATTTTATTCTATTCCTCTTCTCCTTCCCATAAGTAATTTCCAGAAGTTATCCTCCGCCATGTAAATGACAGTGGATATTATGCAGAATTCACATCAGTATCCATCAGCCTCACAGCCCTCCCCATACTCGCTCATTAATGCCATTTACTGAAGTTATCAATTATTTCTCAGCATGTCACAAATATGGGCTTTTTTCTCCCTTATTTGCAGCTTCTCGTTTGCTACAAGTAAAAGATCAAGGGGCTGATTCTGCCAAGATCAATTGAAAACAGTAGAAATTTTGCTTGGAGATATTGAACAGACTCAGACACTCAGCCATCAATAATAATAATTCCAGAATAATTTAGTGGCAATTGATAAGAAATCTTTTTCAAATCACTTTAATCCAAAGCAAAAGAAAATATGCAGATTTTTCATAAATAATTACATCATATGTGTGAATGATTTATGCCTAAGCTTATTAAATACAACCCTAGTGACTGGGAGGGAAGCAAAGCAGATTGGAATAAGGTGGAGCTGAAGAAATGAGTTCCTGAAATATCAAGTTATTGAAAGACACAGTCAGAAACTTCATTAATATTTTTTGTTTCTTTGGGCTAAATTTCTGATGAGGGGAAAAATGTGAAAAGTGATTGTGTTCTGTAAGTTACCCAGTTTTCTAATTCTCCCTGTGGTGAGTTAATCACTTCCACCTACATTTGAAAGGAATCCCAAAGACTTGCAAACAGCCCATAGAAAAGCCCACAGTTACAATTTTTGTAATTTCAAGCTCAAAATTTAGAACATTGTGAATGAGAAATTACTGAGACTGAACTGCACAAAACAAAGAGATCCTGCATGTAAATACCCATTAAAAGGTGGCCAGAGTGGGAGGAGGCAGGGATTTGGCCTTTGTGTACAATAGGTCAGTTCCTGAAACATTTGCCAAAGGTATAAGAAACCTAGATAAAAAACCTAGATAAAAGGCCTTTCTCTGCAGGAATGGGGTCTAGGCCAAAGCTCTTAATCAGCAGGCAGTTTTGGGGTGGGATGGAGAGACAGGCCCATTCAAATTCCTCCTACTGCAGCTCTGTTGTTTTGGAAAACAGAGCTGGGACCTTGATAGAGCCAGACTAAGGAAGTTCTCGAGTCCAGTGATGCAGCCAGAAATGAGGACCTGGTTTGGGTCATGGTTGCAAGGACTGTTTCTAGTTTTTATACACACACAGGGAAAATATGGCAATCTTTCCTCCTCTGACTGGATCAGGGAACACTTAAATATAGTTCTATGTTAACTTCTTTTTACGTAGTTTAACAGATCATGTAAGAAATGCT